TGTGACGGCAAGTGAGTGGAGCCAAATGACGGAGCAGCTGATACCTCCATTTCTGTGTGTGTTTGTGTGTCAGTCAGGGTGGGGGCTTTATTTCTGACCCCTTTGGCTATTTATAGCTTTTTCTGATTATCTCCCACCTCTTTCATGCTCTCGCTCACACCCATTATCACCCATCACATTTTTATCCCCTCTTTTTCCTTCACTCTTTGCTCTTAACACTCCCGTAAACTCTCACACACACACACACACACACATACACACAGAGTACGTTGTGTAAGTAACTCTGTCCGTTAGTGTTGACAGGAGTTGGTCAGCGTGCACTTTGTCACACTAAGGGCTCTGTTGAAAAAGACCATGAAGTGAGTGGCTTGATGTACAGCATAGCGATGAAGAACCAATTGTGTGTGTGTGTGTGTGTGTCAGGATAAACTGTTAGCTAGCAACAATAAGGAACAGAAATAGATACCTCATTGCGCCGTGTGGTTTGTCGGCTTTCTGTTTTTGTGTTCACATGAGTAGGTGTGAGGATAAAAATATGAGAGTGGGGGATAATGGGAGACAGAGAGGGGAGAGACACGCATGTTGTGTTGGACACAATGATGTGCGTGTGGTCACGTTTGTGTCCAAAGCACATACAGCAAGAGAAGTCTGGCATCGACTACAAGGTCCTGTCTTTTAGTATCGTTGATGGGTTTTTCTTTCCAGCAGTTTTGGTCTACGGTTGTCAGACGGGCCTTCCATACGGCTGCATTTTGTAATTCACTGAGTATGTACAGTGTTTGGCTTTATATTAGATCAAATGTAAATGCCACTGCTGTAAGCATCTGTCTGTCTGACGCTCTGATGGCAGGAGCCAGAGTCACCTTCAACCAAAAGGCACTAGTTCCACATTTTAGAGGAGTTCAATGTTGTTGTTGTTTTTAATATAAATCTTAATTATGAATGCAATTTTGTTGCAGAATGGCACACATCAAAGGACTGCGATGTTGGCATGCTTTTGTCGTGATTTGTAGAAAAACATGGATTCCTGAGGGGAGGTTTTGCGGCGCTGTCTGATTCACACCAGGTCCCATGAGGTGACGGTGATGAAGAGTGGTTGTCATTACTGTATTGCCTTTTAAGCTGCTCCGTCACCGTGGCTGACACTAATATCAGCTGAGATGCACATCGTTTGCCCCCACCGTGCAAACATTCCTGACTTTCGGAAGCCTTATGTTCAAAACAAACAAACACATTCATCGACTTTTTGATGTTGTGTCAAAAGTTGTGTTTAGCTCGATGATGCCAGGTGGAGCCACGCAGGCATGACTCATTGACGTCAGGTGATTGTAAGAGTGTGTCCTCACTTTACCTTACCATCCAAGGGAAAAAAACAATATCCACCATCAATAAAGTGATGAAAACCGCCCCTCCATGTGTGATTAGTGCTTCACCATCTTTATTAGTTTCTGGAAACAGGAAATCCAAAGCACAGGTGTCTCCCGAAATCCATACTAATTCTCAGCACATTCTAAATACTTAGCGTGTTTACACTGGGAAAGTGACGCATACTCAAACCCAACAGTATGAATACTTCAGACCAAGTAATGAGTGTGTTGTTGACAGACACCATTCCCCCACAATGCAATGCACAAAGGAAATGGAAGAGCTTCACAGAGCTTGAAAAATGAAAACAGATTGCATATGATTATGAGACGCCTTCAGAAAGATGTAGCCTTTCCTGCTAGTAGAAAATGCCTCGCCTCAGTTAGACAGTTTCACACGCACTCAAACAAAAAAGACAATGAGGTCAATGTAAATATTGCTTATTGATATTGCGACACCTGCTGTATGTCCAGAATGGCCGCCATATCATGGAATGATACTGTGGTTAAATTGCCCATATGTCTGTCCTGCTGTCAATCTGTCCTGCTGTCCATCTGTCTGTCTCGGTGTGAAACTAAACTACGTTTCAGGTCACTGTGCAGATTGTGCCAAAGCGACGGGAAATTACGCACACATACACACCGACACACACAGTGCTCTCTCTCTCTCTGCTGACAGAAGGGCTTGGAGAGAGGGTAATGAGAAAATGTCCTCATGCATGAAAACTCACGTCAGCAGTCCAGCCAATCCAACACGCACGCACGCACGCACGCACGCACGCACGCGCACACACACGCACACGCACACGCACACGCGTGAAAACAAGTCCTTGATACACTTCTAATACTTGCTGCAACACTTCCTTATTTTTTTCGTCTGAGTTCTCTCTTTTTTTGTGACTCATTGTCTTTTTTTTCTCTCTCTCGCTCTCGCTCTCTCTTTCTCTCTCTCTCTCTCGGGTTAATACGATAATAATGTTCACTTTTTAGGAAGACGGTAACAATTCATCAAAACATCGCACAAATTCAAATTCACCTTGCTTATCTCTTCAGGACATCACCTTTGTTCTAAAATGAGGAGAGCAGGTTGACGTATCGTACGTCTCATGTTGGAAGGATAGAGATACCGGTACATCAGAAGTCTCTGATTCCATTTTTTAAGTTCTTATTGATTGGAGTTTCGTGTAACTCTTAGACACGCGTCTCCCTTCTCCTTGGCATCTGCGGCTCAGCGCATTGTTTCTGCAGACACTGCAGCTTCCAATTAGGACTGTCCTCGTTTCACCTCTGATGCAAGAAGAGATGGAGGGAAGAATAAAAAAAACATTGTCTGCTTGACAAGTCATTAAGACAGAGTGTGAGACAACAGGAAAGGTTAAAAGCCAGGCTATAAGGACTAAAAGATTTAGATTTGATTCAGTGACACAGTGTGTATTTATCCATAGACAGACATTACCTGATGTGCACATCATACAGCTTAGAAGTAGGGATGCAGCCATTAATCGACCGAACATCGGCGTCGACCGATATTCACCTTGTTGACTGCCGAAAGCACATCCGCATTTAAGGTGACATTCGCAGATGGCAGTGGCCCGAGTCTTGTCTATCTGTTTTGTCGCATCAATTATGCACCTGCTAAATGTTGTGTTGGAGCCGGACAACAGTAATCAGCTGCTGATTCGGATAAGACGCCACTGTCATGACGACGGGTGCCGTGCGCACGTGTGGTGCACGAACAAAAGTGCAAGAAAAAGTCAGCCGTGTGATATGCAACTTAATTTATGTTTCACAAAAAAAGTAGCCGATGTAAGTAGCCTACTGAAACATTCTCCTCGTTAAGGACTTCAGTAGTTGTATAGCAGCTAAAAAGGCAAAAATCAAAAAATGTAAATAACAAAAACATCGGCTCTTGGCCAAGTTTGTTAATTTTTTAAACATCGGTATCGGGTACCCATATTTCCACAATCGGTGCATCCCCAGTAAGAAGCATCCTTAGCGCTAGTTGCAGTGTGTAGATCTGTGCTCGGGCCTCTATGTGAAAGTCACAGACGTGAACAGAAGCCTGCTGTATTTATATAGGACTGGCAGGCTGCCTGATTGATCTGAAACTGTACACTGCCCAGGACTGTGCTGTCCTCCAGACCACAAATACATCAACTCACACAACGTAAACATGCTCTCACACACACACACACACACACACACACATGAACTTGCACACACTGCTTGGATGTTTTTTAAGACAGAGCAGTGTGTGCGTTTGCTTTTTTTAAACTTCAGTTTTCTTTAAATATGTGTGTTAATAATTCCTTTAAAGGGATAGTTTGGGTGTTTTGAATCGGGGTTGTTTGAGGTACTCATCTATAGTCCAAGTACAATTTTGAGGAACTTTTACCTAACCTGAGTATTTCAGCTCTTGTTGAATTGGGTTTTAAAGGATTTTAAATTCGTGGCCCTTGGACTGACTCTTGTGTTAAAAAGGGCCGGACGTACTGACTGAGAAGCTACGACATTACCTCATTTGTATTGAGTCCGAAAGCGTGCTTGTTTCAAGATGCAGACAAATGACTTGACTGTGTAGCAGGTACAACCGTTTCCCCCCCTTCATCGTAGAGATTAGTGGGTGGTGCGCCCATCGGCTAATCTCTTTGGCGTGTCAGGAGGGCAGATCCTCAATAGGACGAGACAAATGCTCTGTGACTTCATAGAGATGTTGGAAGATGTGTTTCAAGAAGGTGCCAGGTTCCATCCTCGGTCCTCTCTGAGCAGAGATCTTGTTCACTCGGGTTCATTTATGTGCGGGGATGTTGTCAGTCTGTATTGCCTCAAAATGTTGCCCCAAACCTGTATCCGTCTGTCTGTATCAGTCAGCTGTTTTTTGTCCTGGTGTCCTGTCTGTTGTTCTTGCTGCCCGTCACTCTGTCAACTCCCTTGTTTGACTTTGTCCGATTCGTCTGTCTGTACTTTCCTCCTGCCGGTCTGTCCTCCCGGGTAACTGTCTAACCACCTTTGAGTCTGTCTGTCGGTGTGTCCTTGTGTGCATGACATTTAAAACAGCAGGACGGGCTGCTGCTTGCACTGTGTGCCTAAATGTCAGCTTCGCCTACTGGTTATGGACCCTCCCCTCCCTCCCCCCTGGTCTGCTCTCTCTGTGTTTTGGTTGTAACCCTCCTTCAACCTTCTTCCTAACCCTTTGCCCCCATTCTTCTGAAACCTTCTCCTCCTTTATTTACCTGACCGTATCATCCCAAGAACACCTCAAGATGTCCACATGATCTCATTTGAATAACTTATTACCGCACCATTTTGTGGCTTATGTATCTATAATCGGGCCGTAACGCTTTTGTGTATTCGTGCCGAACCAAACAGTGACTTCTGTTTGGCGCTACATCCCTAATCTGTCGATTTATGTAACTGTTGATGACAGGAAGGAAAGACATGACCAGCATACTGAAACACGTGGCCATACATACACACGCACACTTCTTATTTCTGTCTCTTTGCTTATATGTTTCCTGTCTGTCTCTATAAGAAGCTTGGAAGGGGCTGCGGCTTGCTATCTCTGCATGCAAAAAGCACAATGCCGACCCTAACTGACCCATTGACTGACGCGTATGTATTTGTGTGTGTGTTCAGGATCATCCATGAGGACGGTTTCTCTGGCGACGACGTAAAGCAGTACAAGCCTGTCGTTTACAGCAACACCATCCAATCTCTGGCTGCCATCGTTCGTGCCATGGATACACTGGGGCTGGAATACGGAGACAAAGAACGGAAGGTCAGCACTTGTCCCCCACGGTCCCACACACACAAGACACATTCAATTGAATCTCTCACGTACACACACACAGCGACATTTACTCTTCATTTTTCAAATACTGTCACCAGATGTGTGTAGTGTATTACGGCTTACAGTCACACTGAAATGTAGCACAGAAACCAGACCGTCACAGATGGAAACATCAACCTACATGAACCACTGATGTAATTCTCCAAATGCTGAGCTTCCAGTCCTGAATGCAGCAAGTAGCCACTGGAGGAATGCCATAAGAGCTGATGTAGTTCAGAGAGAGGGCACCGTGTGCCTTACGTAGAGCGACTCTCTTTCAACCAAAGCACCAGGAGTCCAGCTCTTATATCAGACCCGACACCGTACCTCTGAGCAAGACACCGATCTCTGCCAGCTTCAGCTTGTTACTGTGTGCACGGTTAGGGCGACCCTGTCCGCAGTGCACCTTAACCATGCAATGTACCGTATAGGTAGAGTGTGTTGTTGCTGTCACAGCTTCATAAAGCTGGTGTTGAAGCACGTTGTCTTGGTGAGCTGAAGAAAGGTGAGAAATCCTCACAACATTAGCATTTTCTACCCACACTGATGAAGAAATCTAAGGACTGTTATTTATGCATCAAAAGTTACAGAGACTCAAGTAGGACTAACTTTTTTTTTTTAGTTATTTCAGTGACTTGATAGATAATAAACCAATTGCAAAGGTCCTTCCGGAGCTGCAGTAGAGGAATGCGGATGTCACACACTCCCAGTGACTTTGCCAAAAGCTCACAAGCAGCACATGATCCAAGGACGATGGCAGATTTGTGTTAGTGCACACCTTCCTGTGCAGATGCAATGTATACCGTTTGGTCCGGTTGAACATGTCTATTCAGCGGTGTGCAGCTGCGCCTGTCTCAGCAGCATAGCGCATGTTAAGCTCTCAGCTGGAGGTGGACGAGCTGAGGTGAAACCTCACCCGTGTGTTTTTTTTGGGGGGTATCATCCTTAACAAGTGCTTGCCATCATTTCTCAGGCAGACACTACAATCCACAGCAGTAAACGGCAACATATTGATTGTTTGCACATGCTTTATCGAGCAGTCTAGGTTGGGATAGTAGAAGAAATGCAATTATGACAACAATATCTTTTTAGTTCTGAAGGTGGAACAGAATCAGACAAAAACACAAATGATTTAAAGTCATATTTCTTAACTCCTTATGATGTTGGAAATCGTTTCTCTCCCTCCTTGGGTTGGACGACCAACTTTCACTCTGTTATTGAGCGTCAGCTTGTCATCACTCTGTTTTCTTACATGTTAAAAACTGTCTACACCAGCACTGATTTGGGGCCTGATGGGAAAAGCCGCCATCTAACCCTGTCATGATCCTGTCATGTCCTGCTTCCGAGTCCCCTAAATCCTACAGCATACAAGTACAATATACAGTATGATACGCTAATTAAGGATTATGAGTCTAATCCACGGAAGAGCATCAGTTCTCTCCCAATACAGTGCAATAGAAGGAGGTTAATTAGAGATATAAGGATCGTGAAGATGCAGGGCTGCATAATTCCAACCTCTCTTGGCCCGCGTCTTGGTTTAAGGTCCAACATTTCTCATGATTTATGCCATTAGAGATGTGAAGATTTGAATTAGCTGTTCCTTTTGTAGCCTGTCTTCAATGTGGAGTATGGAGGGAGCTCCAAATGGATAGCAGTGGCAAACAACTGCAGATCGACTGAGGACTGGAATGTTGCATTCAAATACAATCCGTACCTGAATTCTGTAATTACATGTATGCAGTACACCAGATACAAGCCCATACATTGACCCTTAAATGCAATGCTGTTGGGACAAGTGTTGGATACCAGAGCTTTCCACCACCACATCATTGTCAACAGCGTCACTACGAACTGACACTGTCCAGCATACAGCAGACCTGAACGCATGTAGGTAAGGGAGCTTTTAAGGGCACCGTGTCACGTGTCATGTGGTGACGGTCATGTGGTGACGGTCATGTGGTGGTGGTGGTGTTGTTGTTGTTGATGATAATGAGGATTAATGGCGTAATAATGGTGAGGATAATAATGTCTGACTAATATTGCTTCAGTCAATACAGTGTTGACGTAAGTAGATGACTCTGTTTGGTCCAAACTGGCCTCTGACTCTTCCTGTTTGTCTTTGGTAGCAAGTTTTCGAGTGAAAAATGCTTTTAAAAAATGTCTTTCCTCTCTCTCTCTCTCTCTCTCTCTCCCACACACACACACACACACACACAGACATGTGCCATTTGCCTTAACCTTATCCAAAGGTACAGGATGTTTTTAATCACAATGAAGCTATTGATATGCAAATTACAGGGCTGAAATAACAATACACCTATTGATTAGGATGTGATAACTGTGTGCGCGTGTGTGTATGTGTGTGTGTGTGTGTGTGTGTGTGTTATACTGTATCTTGGTATTGCCTGTCTGGTCAGAGGTGAAGGGAAGGTCTTATTGTTGCCATACATTCATTAAGGGGAAAAGGGCACTGTGTGTGTGTGTGTGTGTGTGTGTGTGTGTGTGTGTGTGTGTGTGTGTGTGTGTGTGCGTGTGCGCGCAAAGAAAACTTCCTCCTCCTCCGTTATGCTAACTTTTTGACCACCGTCCCATGAAAACCTTTCCCCCATCCTTTAGTCAGGGTAAACTGTTGAATCTAAATGTTATCCCTTTTACGTTGTTATTGTCATCTATGGTCGTTATTTGCATAAAAGACACAATTCAAATGATTAGGAGGTGAATGATTTTTATTTTTATTGAAATACTTGCATTAGCAGTTCTAATAATGTATTGCTTTTGTGTTAACTATGGTGCTTTTATAGAAGTTAAAGCACCATAGTCAAGGCTACGCTGTTAATGTTAGCTGTTCAGCGCCTTGCTGCCAGCAGACAAGCCGGCCGCTGTGATTGCTCTGAGCAGCATGCAGGGGAATGCATTCAAACGTGAGGCTGATCCTCCTCAGCTTATCTTGGAGTTGCAGTTGTGACAAATTCTGAACTTTGTGTCTTCTTCACACACCGACTACATGTTGTGTGTGTGTGTGTGAAGTTACTGTCTGTGGTGCTGTGTGTACCAATATAAAAATATGAAATGAGTTGCTATTAACTGCAGAATAGTATCAAAATGTGTTTCAAGACCGAGCGTAAGGCTGAGGGGTGACAGAAAGATGTCGGAGGAAAATAACAAGAGAGTGTGGAAGAGAGATATATTGCAGTTTACATGAAAGCTAAAAAGCATGAGCGGGAAAGAGGAAGGAAAGGAGATTATTTAAGAGAGAATGGAGAGAATGTGACAGTGGACAAGAAACAGATGGAGAGACCAGACTACACTGTGTATAAACTTACACTCTACATCGGACTTCCCCTCAAAGTAACCAGAGGACTTCGAGAAGTTCTCCTCACATCTATCAAGGATGAGGAGTAGAGCTCTTTCATTCATCCTAAAATATATATGTATGAAACCTTTGTAATCAACTGTGGATGATGCTGATGTTCAATGTAAGACCCCCACTCTTTTTACACCTTCCTCTTTCCGTCTTTGACTTCCTTCATGTCTCTCCCTCATCTGTCATTCTTAAAGTACAGCGTATAATTCACAAAAATCCGTCTCCACCTGCACTACGAATTATTTTTCCATAGCTTTTTTTCTCACCCCGTCTTCTGATCCCCCCCCCCCCCCCCACACATCTGTTTTCGTGATCTTGGCTAGTTGTTGTGGCAACCCGGTGTTTTGTCTTGCTCTCAACACATTCCGCAAGCGCATGTCCAAGGGCGCTGTGACACACACACACACACACACACGCATAACACATGCACTCACACAATGATAGCGGAGCGGGCTCGAAATAGACACGTTGTCACTGCTGTATGAATCTGCAAGTAGTTTTCACTCGGGTCCAGAGAAGAAGCTGCTGCCACTGACATTTTGAATAGCTGTTAAACCTCCATGACCCTCATGAAAACTAAATGCAGTATTTGTTTCTTTTCTTTTTCGGACCACAACCATTCTCAAACTCAGCTTTCATTGTCCACGCCATCGCCGTGACAAAACCTACCCACAGACAATTTAAACACTTGTCAAAGTACTAAAAAAACACTTCTGTGGTAGTTCCCGCTACAATAGGTGTCTCCAGGACCATATTTTGCCATTAAGACGCAGTGAAATGTCACACTGATGCTCATAACAGGTTAAATCCTTGCAGAGATAAGTATGAGCAGCATTGTAAGCCATTTAGTTGAGCTGCCTCTTAGCAAAATGCTCTGAGTGAATTTAAGTGCCCTCTCATAAGTAGTGATGCATGCAGTGCATATGTCTAGGCCTTTTATTGTGAAAGGTAAGAATGGAAATACGTGAAGCTGTAATGTGCTGCCGTTGACGAGGTGGGAGCAATAAAGAGTTTGCGGTCTTGGTTCGGACATTAGAGCCCCAGTGTTGTTATTGCATCACCTTCATGTTGGTATAGGAGCAACTTAAGTGCTGTATTTCAGCTCCGTCAGTCTGCTGTATCGATTCATTGTTACTTAATGGAAACATAAACAATGCACCACGCGTCTGAATTCAACACAGATTTGTCCGCCGTCCACCGACGACAGCCATCTGAGACGGGCGGCTCAGGAGGGGAAGTTACTTTCATGGTGTAGCCCATAAAGTTTCTTATAGACCACAAAGACATTTGTACGGTTTTGCTTTTAAAGAAATAGCTGGCAGCTGTCACAGGCCTTTAAGCCAGCAGCCTGCACTTGTGCACACAACTTCCTCGTCTTTTGTTTTAAGAGGTATCTGACACTCGATAGTTATGATACACCAATGCAATCCTTGTGCTCAAAAGTGTGTTATACGTCTTTCAAATATGCTGTTTTGGTGGATTCTTGGTGATCTGTCGTGTTGAAAGGTGTCAGTCACTTTATGGAAAAGACAACACTTACGCCATATTACAATATCCAAAATTGATATGAAGTCTTAATATCACG